AGTTCCACAGCTTTGTGGTGACACCATTCTGTAAAAACATGATTCTGAAGCACGGATCCTCATGGATGCTTGGGTTTTTTGTGTTGGGACACCCCAAACATACCATTAAATCCCATATCATGTCCATGGCCACAGCCCGCACCACAGAAATCACGGTGCCATGGCTCTGTCGCAACACCATACTGCAAAAAACATGGTTCTGAAGCATGGATCCTCATGGATCCTTATGATTTTTGCATTGTGTCACCCCAACATCACCATCAAATAATATGCCTTGTCCATGGCCACAGAATGCACCACAGAAATCTTATGTCCACTGCTCCTTGGCTACACCATTCTACAAAAACATGGTTCCAAAGCACAGATCCTCATGGATCCTTGGGGTTTTTCAACTGGTTCACCCGAAACACACCATCAAATCACATAACATGTCTACTACAAAAACATGGTTCCCCACGGACCCTTATGATTTTTGCATTGTGTCACCCCAACATCAAATAATATGACTTGTCCACAGAAATCTTATGTCCACTGCTCCGTGGCGACACCATTCTACAAAAACATGGTTCCAAAGCACAGATCCTCGTGGATCCTCAGGGTTTTTCAATTGGGTCACCCCAAACACACCATGAAATCACATAGCACATCTACGGCCACAACTTGCACCACAAAGATCACAGATCCACAGCTTCGTGGTGAATCCATTCTGCAAAAACATGATTCTAAAGCACGGATCCTTATGAATCCTTGGGGATTTTGTGTTGGGACATCCCAATCATACCATTAAATCCCATATCATGTCCATGGCCACAGCCTGCACCATAGACTTCATGTTGCCACGGCCTCATGGCAACACAATGCTGCAAAAACATGATTCCAAAGCACGGATCCTCATGGATCCTCAAGGTTTTTGTGTTGGGTCACCCCAACATCACCATTAAATTACATACCTTGTCCATGGCCACAGAATGCACCACAGAAATCACATGTCCACGGCTTCTGAAGCCAAAATATGGTTCTGGAGCATGGATCCTCATGAATGCTTTGGGATTTTGTGTTGGGACACCCCAAAGATATCATTAAATCCCATACCACGGCCATGGCCATTACTTACACCACAGTATTAATGGGTCCCGGACTTCGTGGCAACACCATGTGCAAAAACATGGTTTTGAAGCATGGATCCTCATGGAACCTCAGTGTTTCTGTGTTGGGTCACTATGTACTCACCATCACATCACATATCATGTCCAAGGGCACAGCCTGCACCACAAAAGTCATGGATCCATGGCTTCATGGCAACACCGTGAAGCCAAAACATGGTTCTGGAGCATGGGTTCTCATGGATTCTTGGGGGTTTTGTGTTGAAACACCTAAACATACCATTAAATCCCATATCATGTCCATGGCCACTACTTGCTCCACAGAATTCATGGATCCACAGCTTCGTGGCAAC